TTTTTTTTTTTTTTTTGTCAGTTATGCATTTTGTATTTTCCTTGACCTTTTGTGTGTTGTTTTTAGTTTTTCCAAAACCAGCCAAAGGGGGAGTTTGTTAGGTTATTATGTTAGTTAGCTGTTTGGTAAACTAAGTTTTTTTTTTTTTGTAAGTAAAGGTCTAGAAAATAGTAACTAGAAGTCATCATGGTATTCCGGATTGCTACAGTGGAGTTGGTGCATTGTGCAGATTAGTTGTTGCTAACAAATAAGGAGCAGATAAAGCCAAGCATGTGAAGATCTCAATCTTTTATTTGAATTTGTACCTGATCTAATTTTCTAAGGAAGTTCAGATTCAGAAATCAGGAAAGATAATCCGGAGTATTTGGAATTCAAATTTAAAAGAAGATTATGCAAAACACATCAGAGAGAATCGTGGAGAATAAGATAATAGATTTGTATTTGAACAAGATTCAGTGAGCCATTTGAAAGTGGAGATAAAAGGCTTCAGTTCAGGAGATAGTGTGACGCTTTTGAATGTGCAGAAATTTCCAGAGGGTGTGTTGTTGAGAGAAGATAGAACTTGTTGAAAAGTTTTGTGCCCTGTTCAGTGATGAAGTATGAACGATTGAAAGGAGTTCAGGAGTTAAATGTGAAGACATGTGGTACACGTTAAACAGAGTCATTGTGCGATTTCATCACAGCGGCGTCATAGTCTAGGAATGAGTCCTTGAGTGAATAAGTCCATCAGTGTTGTAATTCTTGAAGTATAGTGAAACTGTTTACTGTCTGGGTGTGGCCCCGCAGAGTAGGTGTGCGCACCCTACTGCGATAACATATCGTGTGCATTTATTTTACTTTTTGCATTACTGTCTTTCCTTCGTAATTAATTTGAATAGTAACAAAGCTGGTAGTGTTCCAGATAGTGTTCCAACATCATCTGAAACATCATACGTAACATCAGATGTATCATTCGTTTCTATAATATAGTTCCGTACTTTCGTTCTTGAAGATTAAAATTCTGACGTCTATGGTACTATCATCAATAAAAAAAACTTTGCCGAATAATTTTATTGTCGTTTTCTAAATATAGTTTAAATTGATATGTTACTGCCACCAATAAGGAAATATTGTACTGTTAGAGTTTTTTTTTTTGAATTAAAAAAAAAAGGATCTTCGGTCTCATCCAATCCCATCGTCCGTTTTCTCTTAATTTCATCGTACACCAAACACTGCTAGACAATTTAACAATGTTATTTAATTTTAGAAAAGTGAAAACTCATGCAAAGTCAAAGTTTTCAACATTGTTTTGTTTGGAGGTGTAAACTCGGGATGAGCTGGCCCATAAAGAATATGGCCAGTCCGGCCCAGCCGAGAGTTCAGACATAAATCAGGTCAAAGAATCAAGCTGCGTCTAGTTCGTTCAGTCCCGACTCAACTTTAATGTTTTACTATGATTGAAAGATTTCAAAAGTTTAGGGTTTTTCTTCACGGGTTCAAATTAAAGATTCTGATTAATTGGTAGAACTTAATAAGAGAAGACATTTTTAAATTTTAATTCTGTGAGATAAAAAATATTGTATTAAAATTAAAATCATGATTAAGTATATCTTTTAAACGAGACCTTCAAACTCTCAGACATACTAGTGATGCTTCTTTCACACACACACACACACACAAAAAAAAAAAAAAAAAAAAAAAAAAAAAAAAAAAAAAAACTAGCAGTTACTAGAGCACCCTTAGTAGAAGAAGAAAAAAAAAAAAAAAAAAAAAGGTCTTTGTAGGAAAACCTGACAAAGATTCCGACAAACAAGTGACCAATTAATAAATAGCCTTTGCCTTATATAAACTAGCTGTATAAAGTACAAACTAGCTGTATAAAGTACAAACTATAGTAATGTGCTTCATTACAATAAGAAAGTGTTTCTAACTATAAGATTCTGATGATAAATAAAAGTACAAATATAACTTCTTAAATATTCTATACCTAGATTAGTGTATGAAAAAATATGTTTTAAGAAAAAAATACTTCTAAACAAACCAAATATTAAAAAAAAAAAAAGAAAAAAATCATCCCCTGCCATGAAAGACATTCAGAGGACTACTTGAGATGGTTAGTAGACTATCTCTCATTTCTGCCTCTGTTGAATCCAAAAATGAAACAACTTTTCTTCTTCTTGGAGTGGAACTCAAATTCCTAGTATGATTTAAGTGAACCAGAGATGATATGCTTGTAGTGAAGATGAGAAATTTGACTGCAAACCCCACAGCCTTTTGCCACTTCCAATTGATGAATATATTTCTGATGCCACAAATGAGATCATGAGGCCATATCTTCTGTGGATTAGCATTTATAGCTTTTTCATCGCCAAAACGTGCATTTATCTCTCCCACAACATCTGGGGGTGTTCCTTTATAATTCCTCGCCAGTTCTATTAATACCAATCTGCTTTCTTCCAAACTGGTCCAGGCTTCATGTCTCTCTTTTAGTTGCCAAGCTTGTAATTTCTGCGTACACATAAAATAGGTGGATCAATATAAACTGTTCTCTCAAAGTTTTCTCATAATTTCTTTTCTTTGACAAATCGAGTATATTGCATGATCTTCATTTCATCTTTGACCTTTTCTGTTTCTTGTGAATTCTACGGTATAGTATGAAAAAAAAAAAAAAAAAAAAAAAAAATGTATCTGCAAATAAGGTTTTGTTTTGAGCCGTCAAATTCTTATCAGTTTGTCAGTTTTGCGTTTTTTTTTTTTTTTTTTTTAAATCTGTTTTTGACCAAAGCTAATGGTTAAAAATATGCACGATCAATATTTCCCCACGCTTCCGCTCTCTATCCGACATGCCTCAAAATCTAACTTAAAAAGAGTTTTAATTTTTTCGGCCATAACAATGTCCAAGGAGGATAATGATTTAAACTTCAAAGCCAAGGAAATCCTTACCTCTAATGACAAGAGAATGTTCTGAACATGCTTCACTGAATCTCTTATGACAATCAATCTCTTCCTCTCCTCGAATGGGGTCGGATCCGCAATGTCACAGTAGCGACCATATTCCGAACAAAACCTGCAAAACTTGACACTTTTTTCAATTTCACAATTGAGCCTACCATGCAAAGACCATGCTCTCTCAATGAGAGAACTGATCAGGTCTTTATTCAACTCCATCAAAACAAAACATTGCCCATCAATTGAAGACCCCCACCTAAATACAGTAATGCCTAGCTTTCAGAATTAGTTTATTCTTTGTTTCCACTTTTCCAGATTTTCCCAGCTTTTTTTCTTTACTTTTCTTTTCTTTTCTTTTCTTTTCTCTCTTGCGTGTGGTGGGAAAATCAGGACATTAGGAATATATTGGAAGATGGTGGTAGGCCTCTCTATTCTATTCTGGCTCTGTACAAATCATTTTGGCCACTTTTTCTTTCCGTTTTTGTGTTTCCTTTAGAGGGAAGATTTTGTTTGCTACATGAGAAGCTTAGCTGTTACGAACCCCACAGCTCTCGTGTCCACCACGTTGATATGTGAATGGCTCATCATCATGCATCATGCATGTAGTAAAATATTACGAAAATAATAAGAATATCATCTTCATATATACATAAATTGCTAAGACGAAACACACGGAGTTGAGACAAAATAGTAATTTTAACACGTATGTAATTATGATAAAAAATTTTCATGATAGGTTTCAACATGGTTTTAGATTGATCTATATAAAGTCTACTCAGTATGGAATTAACAATTAAGAACATAAAATTGAAAAGAGTCCTACCATCATAAATTTATCGTAACAAGTAACACAAATATATACGATCATTTGTATTTATAATATAACGTAATAACAATATAAAATTTTGCACTATAGTAAAGTGGCTTATCATTATTTGAGGTGAATGAAAAAAGAGTTTTTTTTTTTTTTTAATTTGGTTTTTGTAACATTTTCAAGCGCTTCAATGTGCTTCAAAAGATATCTGCTACTAGGTCCCTAATCAACGGAATATCACAGAAATCATTTTCGCTCCACCAATTAAAGGAAAAAAATTGGGCCCAGCCCTTTAATGCTTAGTTGGATTTCTGAAAGAGGATGATGGATGGGGGCCCAATATTACTCATCCCCATTTTGGATCACAGCAATATGCAATTAATGGGCCTCTTTTCAGACAGTTCATCAAGTCAACCACCAAAATAAAATTTTGTACGAAGTGCAAATTCCTGTGACACAAGTCACACAACATGCTTTGTTATACTTCATCATAAGTCTCTATATCTAATCATTAAAATTCCGTTTCCAATAAATGTTAGTTTGCAAATCGGAGAAAGACGTAATATGGATGATGACGACGAAAAGGTAACAAAGAAGGAAATTTTTCAGAAAACAACAGAAAAGAGAGTATAAAAAATAAAAAAAAATTAAAAAAAGTTGTTAAAAAAAGGTTCTAGCTTCAAGGAAGAAAAAGCTTTAATTACGGCAAATAATTTGAATATAGGATGTCTATATGAGAAAGATGAGCTTTAGCAAATCAGGTAAAAGAAAAAAAAAAAAAAAAAAAAAACAGTTGAGGAAAATACAATAACTTTTGCTTTATAACAACTATTTTGTTCAATTTTTTTTCAAAAAAAAAAAAAAAAACCTAATTTGTATTCCTTTTTCACTTAAAATTTTTGGTTCATTTCTGTCGCCAAGACATGGATTACTTGAAGCTATTGTGTTAAAATCTCTCATGTTACATAGCTTGGAATATGAAATTGTATTAGGGAGCCTTCACTTATAATCTTCTTCATGTTAGGTCCGTTTTTATCCTGGTGTCACAAGTGGTATTGCAACACTTTACTGTAACACTGTTTTGTGACAGAGAATCTGAAATTAAACTAGCAAGGCAAAATGTAAGAAAATAATACAGGAATGTAAAGAACACCAGAAAAATGATATCACAGTTCGGTGCGCACACCTACTCTGTGGGGCCACGCCTAGACAATGAACAATCCACTAAGTTCAAAGAGATTACAAACATCAATCGGACTTATACCCCTAGAGACTCCCTCCTTGACATTGTCGCCGCCGTATCGAATCTGCTTAATGGCTTTATCCAGCGAGCATCACTCGTCTTCAAAACTGCAAGGTGAAATCCCTTCGGCTGGCAGTGCACTTTCTCCCGAAAGCTTCTAATCCTTCTCTCGAAGGACGATCTTCAATCAACACATAAAGACTCACTCTCTCATAGACTTTTTCTGAATATTTCTTCTATAAAAACTATGCCCCAAATGTCTCCTTTAATTTCTAAAAGCTCAAAGACATAAAAAATAATTTCTCTTCCTTCCGAGGCACAC